CAGAGGGACCATGAATTCCGATGGAATCTGGTAAAGCTTGAGAAGCTACAAGCAGAGGACCAGAAAAAGCTACACGAAAAATATCAAAACTGGAAACCAAAAGCTGCTGCTGGCTCAGAGGAACCTGGGGTCCATCAGGCTAATTTTGGAGCTGCTGAGCAGAGCCAAGGTACCGGCCGGGCGGGGCACGGCTGGGCTTGATCTTCAGCACAGAACCGCCTCTTCCTGCTCTGGGCTGCGATCTGTGCATTTCTCTGAAATACTGAGCCACAGTCAGAGCCCCATCTTTCCTCAGCTGGTAGCAACCATAACCAAAGAAATGTCTTAATAGTGGAAGAAAAAAAGATACCAGAAAAAAAAAAACTTGGAGAGCGCACAGTAACAATTTTTTATTGTTTTAGAGTGACTCTCAGTAACGTAAACATGAAGTTACTCTCAGCTGGAAAGCGCTTAGACCAGTGGACAATCTAAACTAACCTGCAAGTGGTCACATGCTATTCACACCAGTCCTGGAATTTCTTTCACGTATTTCACAGCATGATGTATGAGCACTATCCAGTAGAAATATAATGCAAGCAATGCAGATAATTTTAAATTTTTTAGTAGTCACATTCAAAAAAATAAACAGGTCACATATATTTACTTAACTAATATATCCAAAATGTCATTTGAACATAGAATCAATATAAAAATTATTGAGATATTATACATTCTTTTTTCTTTGTACTAACTCTTTGAAATCTGATGTTTATTTTACATTCACAGCACAGCTCAAGTTGGACCAGCCACATTTCAAGTGCTCAGTAGCCACCTGTGGCTAGTGGCTACTCTATTGGACAGCACATTTCTAATTTAGAACAATGGTTTCAGATGGTGTTTTAGCAGGGGGCCATTGTCCTCAGATACAATCTTAGGCTGAATTCTATTATGTAAATTGATCAGGGCATAGCTGCTCAGATTGAAGCAGAGGAGGGATCTTAGAGCCCCCCCTGATGCCCACCCCCATTGCCCCTCCCACCACCTCCAGGCAGTCTTTGCAAACTCTAGCATACAGTGGTTCCCACTCTTCACTCATCTGCTACTGACTCTCACCTTTGAAAGAATTAGCCTTCCAAACAAACTGCATTTAGGTAATTGTTAATTGTTGTCTCTGTTTTTCATTCCAGAGGAACATATAGTTGCTCCTCAAAACTTCTAATCAGGATACGATAACAAAGAGAGAATACACTGAATAGTGGGTGGGGAGGGAGAGTGGTGGAAAGTTTGCCTTGTCATTGGCCACACCATGGTAAATATTGACTTTCTATTAGGTTTTTTGGAAAACTGAAGGTATGTCTGATACCACCATTATTAGATGTGTGGGGCCTTTATTCCAATTAGGATTGCCAGATAAAATACTGTATTTTAATTTGCTAAACACGAAAACCCTAGTCCCAACCCCCTACTGCAGTGTAGTGGGCTAGTGGGTGGAGTGGGGGCACTTGATTTCTAATAAGATCAGGTAACCATCATTAGGTAAGTTAATGTCTCTTAACATCAGTCAATGAAAACAGGACACCACCAGCTTTTTAAGATTTTGGGGGGATTGGAGAAATTATTAGTGATGTTGTAAGCACAGTCTGAAAATCTGTACATGTCTTTAATTGGGTTTGAGATTTCCTGGGTGAATTCGGGATCATGGTTTTGAGCATTCCCAGTCTCAAAGTTCATCAATACATCCAGACAATGGAATACTATTGACAGATATGAGCTATCAAGCCATAAAAAGACATGGAAGAACCTAAAATGCATATTACTAAGTGAAAAAAGCCAATCTGAAAAGGCTACATTACTGTATGATTCCTACTATATGACATTCTGGAAAAGGCAAAACTATGGAGACAATAAAAAGACCAGTGGTTGCCAGGGGTGGGGGGCAGGGACAGAAGAATAGGCAGAGCACAGAGGATTTTTAGGGCAGTGAAAATATTCTGTATGATACTCTAACGATGGATATGTGTCATTGTACATTTGTCCCAGCCCATGGAATGTACAACACCAAGAGTGAACCTGAAGGGAAACTGTGGACTTCAGGTGATTATGATGTGTCACTGTGGGTTTATCCCTGGTAACAAATGTACCATTCTGGCGAGTGATGTTGACAATGGGGGAGCTATGCACGAATGGGGGCAGGGGGCATGTGGGAAATCTCTGTACCTCCTTCTCAATTTTGTTGTAAACCTAGAACTGCTCTAAAACAATAAAGTCTTTTTAAAAAAAAAGGTTCATCAACAGTCTCCATGAAACAGTATTCCAGGGATAACTGGGCATATTTGGGTGCATTTTTAAGCCATAGTGTGTGTGTGTGCCTCCCCCTCCCGTATTTGACTTGAACCCTGAGCATGCCTGATTGAAGCTTTCTATCTTTGACACTCATTTCCTTTGCCCTCCTTTCTTCACCTGCCACACACGTCCTCTGCTGGTCAGTGAATGTTTGTGCTGTCTTCTGGTTTTGCGATATACAGATTACAAAATTTGGGGACAGGTTTTCTCTTGAGTTACAAACCAGGTAAGAAAAAGGGTTAATTCTTTTCTCTTAAAATATTTGCTGTCTTATGAAGAAGAAATGAGGATACATGAAAGATACAGAGAAAATTTAGCAACCTAAATATGTAATTTACCAACTAGATTGTATTTCATGCACATTTGACCCCCCAGTAACGTCAGGGTGTCACAAAAATACTTAAAAGCACTGTGGGGGCTGGAGGAGGATAGCACACTAAGGCCTAATATGTCTCTCTGTTGCAATGGTTCCTCCAGGATTAGCTCATTCTTTGCCTTCACACATTTAACTTTTTATTTGTCCTCCTCACACACCAGTTTTAAATAAAAATCCAGGCTGCGGAACCAAAGCCTGCTAACTCTCCAAGCAGCCTCTCTCTCTCTGTGTGGAACAACACCATGGATAGACCCCGGGGCTACTCAGCAGGGCTGAATTCATCCCGTGAAGGGTCAGTCCAAGGGAGAACAGATGGTGAGCTGTTCTGAATTTTACAGAAATGCCAAAGCTGTCTTTGTAGGTCTCCAGGCTCCTGCAGATCCTTAGAAGCAATGATCAATGTAGGGTGTTCAACTGGAAAACACTAGAAAACATTCTAGAAATTAACAAACTGCCTTTTGCAGAAGACTCTGGGCACCCTAAGTATGTAGATTTTACAATGAATCAATGTTGAAGATGTAAATGGAGTCCTGGTTTGTCACCTAGAGGTGACGACTAGAGCCTTTGGAGATTGCCCAGGATCTAGGCCTCAGCCAAATTCCTGCTGGTCTTCTGGAAAATGTAACTAACCGTAAGACACAACTTTGTGACTTAACATTTTAACTGCCTTTTTTCCCTCTTTTTTCTCTTCAATAAGAAAATCAAAGGCAAAAAAACCATACTTTTGTATATATGTGGTTGGAAAACAAAGTCTTTGGTTTTGTGTTTGCAAATAACTAGGAAATATTAAGAGAACCCTTGTAGACTGGAAATACACCAAGATGCTCGGCAAGAGCTCAGAAGGTTTCAGTTCATAGAAAGTAATTTTAAAATTGGAAATAAGATAAAATCAGGAGCAGATGATTTCATGGGGACTCGCTTATTAACAGACTATTTCTGAGCACTTTTTATGTGCTCAGTGTGAACTCACAGTATGACAAGGGACAGATAGGTGGGGAGGTTCCCTCACCAGGAATCAAACCCGGGCCAGGGCAGTGAGAAGGCCAAACCTTAACCACTAGACCACCAGGGCAGCCTTTAGGCACCTGGAGGATCTGAATGGTTGTAGCTTCCTGACAAATTGTCCCCTTTATCATTATGTAATGATTCCCTACTTGGTAAGTATGATAAATATAGCTACACTCGTTTTCTGGTGTAACTGCACTCTTACAATCTTTACATATTTGGATCCTTCAAACTAGACCAAAGAGAAAATCTGAGGTGGTTTAAGGTTTAATGTTGCTTTAAACAACAAATTTCTAAAAAAAAGTGAAAACAGAACCTGCCTACCAGAAAGGGATGTCGTCGGGTACAGCACCCAGTCAGGTCAGGCTCCCTGTCCCCTCCTCAGAAACCTGCCCACCTGACTGATGACGCTGGGGGCCTAGGGGCCAAGGACAAGGCGCCCCTGGCTCCAGGCCTCACAGAGAAGCTGGGGCGGGGTGTGGCGGGAAGGTGGCATCCCTGGAGGAGATGGGCACACTCTGGCGGGATCTGGTGGCTCCTGGCTCAGCTCTGAGCAGGCTCTGACCTCGGGGACCCCAAGGAAAGCACTGGCGACACACACCCAGGCGCTCAGGGGCCTGCAGAGCCAGCGCCCAGGGGGGTGAGCTGTGGTGATGGGGCCTCCCAGTCCTGAATTGTCCCCGCGTGGCGGCCCACCTGGTGCCAAACACCTGCAACCCGCAGCAGGAAGTCCCAGGTGCTAGAAAGTCCAGCTGGGGCAGCCGTTGGGGCCTCGCCCTTTGCCCTTTGGCGCCATCTCTTCACATACTGGGCTGGCGTGTGCCCCTGGCACTCCCTTTCTCTGTGACATGTTCCAAGGAGACGACACAAGCGTCAAGCTGAACAGTGCAGTGCCTGCCTGGCCCTGGGAGGAGTCAGAAGCTAAGGACAAGCTCTCCAGTTTCATACTCTATTCTCTCATGGTTTGGCGCACACAGGCTCTATGTGGGCAATTTCCTTTGTAAGTTTTGTCACCCTCCCTGCCACCTTCCCCTGCCTGGCTGTAGTCACCTGGTTTCCCCCACCCGCAATGCCGCCCTGCCTGGCTGGGACCACACCACTATTCCTGCGCCAACTCTCAGCCCTGGCTGCAGGCTGTTCCAACAGGATCCTGTACCATTATCAATTGGCTTTTACATCACATGGGAGAGGCAGTACCCGACCTAGCAAGCCACCTGCTACCTTCTGGGGATCCTCCCCTTGGTGAGCTAGAGGGACTCTTCAAAGAAGCCCGGGCAGTCTGCTATGGGAGCAGACTATGAAGGTAGTCAAGGCTATGAAGCTGGCACCATCCAGTCACCTCCACCTTCCTTGCCCAAAAGAGATTGAAGTGAAGGCCCAAGAAGAGCCCAGAGAGGGGATGGCAAAGGATGAGGAGGACCATGTAGAGACCAAAAGACAAGACGATGGGAACAGGGGCCCCCATAACAATGGGGATATACCCTTGATATCTAGGCCCCTGGAGACCAACGGAGTCCTCACTTCTCTCAACTGCAGTCCTGGACCTCTGGACCTCCATCCCAAACACCCAGAAGACAGCTGGAGTGAGAAGGCCCAGATGTTTCCAATAAGCTCCTCCTTGGAAAGCCACATTGTCACCACCTCATACAGCCCTGCTGGAGATGTCCTGCCTCCTGGGAAGCCTGATCCAGATGTAGCAGTGCTCTCTGACCCAACCCCATGCTGCTCCTGCTGTCGGAGAGGTCAACAAAGGAGGTGCTGGGTGAAGACCATCAGCCCAGCTCTCCAGCTCACTGATGTCCAGGAAGGAGATGCAGGACGAAAGGCCTTCAGATGTCCCGTCAAGGAGCTCTTCTCCACGGTCTCGCCCAGAAGTAGGCCCTGCAAACGGAGAATTGCCATGCCACTTGTGCTGCCCCTGCCGCTACCACTGCCACGGCCACTGCCACTGCCACTGCTGTGGGGCAAGGTGAGATGCCCCCACCTCCTAAACTTTCTTGCATAGCTATTGCCAAAAACCTGGGCACCTTGGAGAAGAACACTGAGTGTCAGCGGAACAAGATCTTGGAGGATAAAACGGGGGTCATGGCAGACTGCAGTGCCACTCAGCCTGCCCCTTCTTTCTCCCCACCTGCCTCGGAGACTGCAGACTCCCTTCCCCTGGACACTTACTCCTCACAGGTCCCTGCTCCTCCCAATGACTTGCCCGACCTGTCTGCCAGCCCCCTCACCTGTCTGCCCCTCCACCTTCCCCGACACCAAATACTGATCAGGAAACAAGATACACAGTCCCGAACTCTCCTCCTCCTGCTGTTCCTGCTGATTCTTTTAGACCTAGTCCTGTTTTGGGAATTCCACTGAATGAGAATGGAGGCCCTTTTCATGCAGTGAGAGCTACAGCATCTCCTATTTCTGGCCTCCCCACACCTCCTAGCACCTCTACCTTCTCCTTCAAGCTGCCTCCTGACAAAAAGAACTCCCAACAACCCTGTGTGTAGATTCTCCCCCTTCTTTTCTCTTACCCACCCCTCTTCCAGTCCCTTCCACCTGGAACCCTGCTTTCACTGGCCACCCATCCCTTCTGTGGAGTCCCTTCCACCATCACAGCCATGGCATCTGCAGGTCTGACCTCCCAGCCCACTTTAGAGCCTGGTGTCATTGACATGGACACGACTCCCCCTTCCCAGGCTGGCATTTTCAGGTGTCCCCAGGCTCCAGTGTGAGATCTCTCCCATTTTCCCAAGTTCACTGCACTGTGGAGCAGAGGCGCCCTGCAAAGGTACCAGTCTCCACCAGCCCATCTTCATTGATGGTCCCTGTCCCCACCCCAATTATTAACTATCCCTTTGGCCTGCAAACCACCCCTCAGCCCAGCTGTGGGACCCCCGATGGGCAGCAGCAGACAGCCTCTCTCCCCAGTGCTCCTGTTCTCACCAGCCCACCCCTCGTGGCTCCTGCAGTCCCCTACGCTCCAGCAGGCAGCACCTCTGCAAACTTCAAGCCTGCCTTTAACACCGATGCCATGGATCCCACGCCTCCTTCCCAGGCTGTCATCTTCCAGTCTCCCCGTCTCCAGGGAGAACCACTTCCCATTCTACATGGCGCTTCCTGGTTCCCAGAACACGCCACCCAGTGGCAGCATTGCCTCAGCCCACGTCTCCATCTGTTTACCTGCACAGTCAGTCAGCAGACGGATCACAATTTCCAACCTTCTCTTTAACCCAAGAATCACCTCTCAGCCCACATTTGGGGCCTATGATGGGCAGCAGCCTAACAACTCTTTTCTAGTGGGAACACTGGCAGCCCCAGCACAAGCTGTGGCTCTAACCTCTCCTGCAGCCCGGCCACCCAAAGGCAGCACAATGCAACCAGGTTTAGCAGGTTTCACATCGCCAGGTTCTGCATCTGGCACTGCTGTCTACATCCAGCTGACTTTTGGTGACATCCCATCTGTTCTCCCCATTGGCACATCTACTACTACTGGCTTTGGAGTTGCCACCAGGATGCCCAGCACAAGGGGCAGTAGCTCACTGTTTGCCAATACAACTCCAGGCCCACTTGTTTTTCTGGGACCTGCAGCCCCTACAGATGGTGGGAGCTTTGGGGTCAGTGTTCCACCCCAGGCCTTACTCAGTCACAGGCATCCAGTGCACTCAACTTTGGGGTATGACTGAAGGGGCACCCAGCACCACTTCTGGTCCTCCTTTTGGTCAAATAACCTGGGATCCATCTGGCCACAGCATGGCTTCTGCAGTAGGAGGGGCAAGCACCATGCCTGTGTTTGCACGCACTTCTAGTTCTACATTCACTCCAAGCACCTGAGGCGCACCTGTAAGAATCCAGGTGGTATGATGGGAGGGGACAACACCAATCCCATGATTGGAGGACGTGGTATTCCTGCTCTCCATCAGTGCACATGGGGCCCACCTGGCCAAAACACAGGGGGTACAGTCAGAGGGAACATCATCTCACCTGTGATGGGAGGCCCCTGTGTCACCACCTGCCATCAGAACGCTTGGAGCCCATCTATCCAGAGCACAGGTGAGGGAATGGGGGACAGCACCATATCTGCTGTGACTGGATACACTATGGTCCCCCATTCATACAGAGCCCTTGGGGCCCCCTGGGCAAAATACAGGTGATGGAATGGGGGACAGCACCATACGGTTTTAGAGAGAAACCTCTACTCTCAGTCAAAACACCAGAAGGTTCCCCTCTGACGTTGGAGGAGCCAGCACTGTGTTTGGAGGCTCCTGGTCAGAGCAACTGTGCCTGTGCTCAGGGCACAGCAGTCGCAGCCTTGCCTCTGGGGCACCCTCATCACCTGCCAGGGCTTCATAGGAGCCACCAATCAATTCCTTTCTTCTATCACAAACCTCAACAAATTAGGAGCAGATCTTTTCTGCAAACTGTGTGTAACCAGGAATGGACTTTGCTCCAATGGAAAGGGACTCCGCCCCTTCAAGTGAAACTTCACCTGCTCTCTTCCTATAGCAGCCAGAGGACCACAACTCAAGGGTGTGTGTGTATGTGTTTGTGTGTGTATATGTGTAGTATGGGGTGTGTATGTGTGTGGGGAGTGTATGCATGTGTGTGTGTAGGTTGTGTGAGTTGTGTATCTGTGGGGTTTGTGTGTAGGGTGTGTGTGTATGTGGGGAGGGTGTTGTGTGTGTGTGTGTGTGTGTGTTTGTGTGTGTGTGTGTGTTGGAGGGTGAGGAACATACAAGCCCAGGTCAGAACTACCCCAGACTTGAGAAGCTCCAGTGTGGAGAAGCGAAGAGAGCTGCACGTAGCATGAACTGTGTCATCCCTGATTGTTCACATGGCCGACCCAAGCTCTGGGCCAACTTTCTCTAGTCTGGAAACTGGCAGGATGCCCACTGCTGTTTATAGGGGATTCCTCTCCCCCTACCCATTTGCTTCAGTGGGCCCTTACCTTTCCCAGATTATGTGTATATTTATATACAAAACCTGTTCTTGTTAATCTGCCTCTGCTCATGTGTCTTTGACTCAGCTGTGGAGGAAGAATTGACATACATAAGTGGCGATGTGTTGAGCCAGACTTAACTATGCAAATGTTCTGTGTCCCGGTGACTGGGACGTGGAAGCAGCCACACTCGATGACGGCACGTGCTGACCCGACATCTGGGTGTTGAGCGTGAGGGGCGACACTCCAGGAGGAAGGAAGGTCCAGAGGAGGGAGAGATGGGGGGACTCACCCGTGCCTCTTCCCTCTATGCTGCTCTCTCCTCTCCCACCACCCTGAACTCACTGGAGGCTGCATAATCCCTGATGTGGGACAGGAAACCACACTTTATGATTTCAGTTTTCAAATGTTTAAATGTCTTTTTGTGCATCTTTATATTTACTTTACACTTAAGCCAGTCGTCCTCACACATTCCCACTTCACCCAGAGAGGACGGATTTGGCATCCAGGTTCTTGCATTTGGAGAAACAAAGGAAGAAAGAGCTCATGCTTGCTCTGTAACTATGGAAAATTTAAGTTTGCTTAGAATTTATCATGCTGCTGAAAAACGTCAGAAAAGATCCACTTTAGTAACTGGCGTGGCTCTAATCTAAACCACTAAAATATCAAATCACACGAGTTACAGTTGCCCCCGGTTCTGGATGACCCTACAGTTCTGCTGGGTTTCCACTAGACATAATGAAGGCAAAATTCCTGACTTTGTGGAACCTCCATCCTAGTTGGAGGGGAGAAAAGAAACAACAAACACATGTACATGATCTGGTAGGTTAGCCAGTAACAAATGCTATGGAGAATAAAGCAGCAGATGGAGGATGGAGACTGTGGGCAGAGAGAGGCAGGGCTTTCGAGTTAAACGGTGGACAGGACAAGCCTCACTGCGAAGGGGGGACTTGAACAGTCTAGAGTTAGGTGACTGAGTCAGGTGTCTGAGGGAAAAGCATTCCAGATCAGGAGAATAATCACTGCAAAGCCCTAGAGGAAAGATGCCTGGTGTCCTCAGGGAGCGGTCAGTAAACTCATGTGGCTGGATTAGAGTCAGGAGTGGGAGGGAGGAGAGGAGGACAGAGAAGATGTGGCTGAATTCTCTGCATGACCATTTGTTGTTTGTGTGATCACAGACAGCTGACCCAACCTTCAAGTGTCTCAGTGAACTCGGTGCTTTATATGTAGCCTGTTTATCTTGCAAGACTTTTGGGAGGTTAACATAAAATAATGTAGGGAAGTGATTTATAAGGCATGTTCTTATTGTTCTATACATAATGATAGAAAAATAGACAGATAGATGATATATAGATAGATGAAGTGAGTGAGTTATGGACTGAATTTTTTCTTTTTTCGTTTTTTTTGTTTTTGTTTTTTGGGTTTTTTTTGTGAGGAAGATCAGCCCTGAGCTAACATCCATGCCAATCCTCCTCTTTTTGCTGAGGAAGACTGGCCCTGAGCTAACATCTGTGCCCATGTTCCTCCAGTTTATGTGGGACCCCGCCACAGCATGGCCTGACAAGCGGTGCGTCACCTGGGATCTGAACCCAGGCCACCAGCAGCGACGTGTGCACACTTAACTGCTATGCAACAGGGCCGGCTCCAGGGACTGAATTTTTGTGTCCCCCAAAATTCATATGTTGAAGCCCTGATGCCCAATGTGATGATATTTGGAGGTGGAACCTTTGGGAGGTGATTGGGTTTAGAAGAGCTTGTGAATGTGGAGCTGCCATGATGGGATCAGTGCAGTTAAAGACAGCCAAGCTTTCTCTCTCCACCATATGAGGACACAGCAAGGGGGTGGCCATCTGCAAGCTAGAAAAAGGGACCTCACCAGGAACTGAATCTGCCTTGATCTTGGACTTCCAGCCTCCAGAACTCTGAGAAATCTGTGGTTTAAGCCCTCACCCAGTCTATGGAATTTTTTTAGAGCAGCTTGAGTAGACTAATACAGGTAGGTAGATAAGCAGATGACAAACAGACGGATAAATGATAGATACACAGATGATGGATGGAGATGGAGCATATATATAAATGCTTATTGAGTTCCTGAAGGAATAGTGCTTTGATTGCCTTCACTAGGCTATTGAAATAGGAGATCCCCATTTTAATGGGAGCAGGAAAGTGCTGACTTTTATGAAGTAAACACATAGAAAAATATGATAACTGAGTCTAACAATGCACAGCACTAAGTCTAGTGCAACACTGATGAGATTAGCCCTGTAAGAACAAAGAGCGCCATCCCAGAGAGGCTGCCAGACTCCTCCTGATCACTTCCTCTAAGTTGTGTATCACAGTCCAGAGATCAAAGCCCCTGCTCTCTGGCTTCAGAGACTCGCCTGCCCTTTGCTGTCACAACTGCCTCTCAGAAGCAGGGCTGAAATCCAGTTTGCTTCTAACAGTCCCACACCCTCTCTCTGCCATGCCTGGCAATATTATCAAGGACAAATTTGGAAAATTCATATTTCTTGACATTTTTTTTAAAGGGCTTCATGCTAAAAATAATTCTGAAAAACTTTCAGTGAGGACTGATGTCAGCATCATGGCAGAGTGAACTCTCCCCTTAGACTCTCCTCCATAAGATACAACAAAAAGGACATTCACATACCAACAGAGGACATTCACACAACACAAAAAACGTCTGAGAGACCCATGCAGCCATACGTCTGAAGGTGGAGGTGCTGGACCCCCCAGAGGAAGTGCAAGGAGGCAAGGAGAGATCCTCTCCCTCCCTCAATGGCAGTGACCCTGGGACTGCATGGTTTCTAGAGAGAGGGGGGAGTGGCAGCCCTCTGTGGGAAAACCATCGCTCTCCAAGTTCCCTCACAGCCTGTGGGAACCCCACAGGGAGGTGACTGAATTGTTGAAGGGGTGTCTTTATCAAGCTAGCACCCCAGGAGAGCAGACAGTGAGGGAAGAGCGAGAAGCCCCTGGGATCAGGAAGGTGAAAGAAAGCTCCCCTCCCCCCGCCCAGCAATCCAACATAGCTGGTCTACCAGAGCACCCACAGATCACAATGGGTTCAGAATACACAGCTCTTGACCCCCACCCAGTGGTCGCAGGTGGAAGCTTTGTGCAGACACTATCCCTATGCATAAACACAAATCCACGCCGCCAAATAGTTTAAAAAAATATATTAAATCTCCAGAACAGAAGGAAAATGACAAGCACCCAGAAATCAATCCTTGAAGGCACAGAAATTTATAATCTAAATGATAGAGAATTCAAAGTAGCTATCATAAAAAAGCTCAATGAGTTACAAGAAAATACAGATAGTTCAATGAAATCAGGAATTTATTCACAAAAAAGATGGAAACTACAAAGAAAAACCAATCAGAAATGTTGGAGATGAAAAACACAATGGAGGAGATAGAGAAAAATTTGGAGTCTTTAAATAACAGAGCCAACAATATTGATGATAGAACTAGAAATCTAGACGATAGAAATGCAGAAATGCTCCAGGTGGAGGGGAGAGAGAACTAAGACCAAAAAGAAATGGAGAAATTCTCCAAGAAATATCTGACTCAATTAGGAAATGCAACATAAGGATTGTAACTATTCTAGAAGGAGAAGAGAGGGAAAAAGGAGCAGAGAGCTTATTCAAAGAAATAATAGCTGAGAACTTCCCAAACCTGGGGAAGGAGCTGGAAATACAAGTGAATGAAGTCAACAGATCTCCTGAATATATCAACATGTAAAGACCCTCTCCAAGACATATAGTAGTAAAGCTGGCAAAAGTCAATGATAAAGAAAAAATATTAAGGCCAGCAAGACAAAATAAAATAACGTACAAAGAAATTCCTATCAAGCTCTCAGCTGATTTCTCAGCAGAAACTTTACAGGCTAGGAGAGA